ATTGGGGTTTTAGCCTACTGCTGGTGCTTTTAAGCGACCAACAAACCTGGCAGACACACAGTTCTTGCATGGCCAGGATGGGGGGACCCATGTTTTGGACAGTTCTGCTTTCTAGTGTTGTGAAGCTGCCTGAGCTCATTAAAATTCAGTATATCCCATGATTCATAACAAGTATCTACATAAATGTAGCAAAAAAGAAGTTTATACTAGAGCCACAGTGACTCAACATGATGCTTGTCCATCAGAGGGATCCACACATCCACAGTAATCGTGAATGACTTCCTCATTTATGCATCAGTCATAGCCAGGAATCTGGAAGTCCTACATGGAAATTTTGATTAGGCCATTCTTTCACCTTTGAAATATTACCTGCATTAGGCAATTTCTATCAATGTTTGCTGCTTCTAACACACACCAGACCCTGGCAGCAAATCACTCCTACACTTTAGTCTCTACTTTAGGTTAGGTCCCCTTTTCAGGCCATCAAGGTCCATGGGGAATGGGGGGCAAGGGTCACCATTTTTCTCAACCATCCGACACTGGAGGTGGAGGTGATGTGGTCAGCATCACGCGCCGGCCGGCCTATCGGACCCGGATATCTACATGAATAGACATTCAATATAGCATAGAAACAGGATTGCTCACAAACGTTTTTTTTTCCTAATAGGACGATGAATAGTCAGATGTATGGTACTACATGCTGCAGGCTCTGTGGTGTGCTGGACACGTGTGAAATGCAGAATTATTTTCAATGGCTAGTTAATCATTACGGTTTTGTCATTCTGATTATTCATACAGAGCGTTCTTGATGGAGTTTCCCCTTTAATATATTAAGTACATTACAACATTACTGGGTTTTTTGTTAATCCTGCAGATGTCTATTACAATAAGGTGTTTTTCTCCCCCTCTTATTTACGGCTTTCTGTTCTCTTTTTTTTATACAAAATCTCAGTAACTGGAAACTTGTCACTGGAGCCTGGCTGGAAAGATCATGTCCATTTTCACCGTCGAGTGAACTCAGCATAAGAGTAGATTATTTCTTCTGCTTCTGCCGCCGCTGTTACTATGAAGCTAGAGACATGTAAAAAATAAGAAGAAGTGATACTAACTACCTGAGCCGTGGCAGCTCAGACGGCAGGGGTGTCTAGCTCCTGATGGGAAGGTCCCAGGTTCAGTCCCAGGTAGGGGCAAGTGATGAAGCTTGTTCTAATTCCTTCCAGACAGCTCCCAGGTCCACTCAGCCTGCTTTCCAAGTGAGTACCGGGGGTTAATCCTTCTGGGGGCGATAGGCCGGGCGGAGCGTGATGCTGACCTCATCACCTCCACCTCCAGTGTCGGATGGATGAAAAAAATGGGGGCCCTTGCCCCCCAATTCCCCATGGGCCTTTATGGCCTGAAAAGGGGACCTAACGTACCTATATTAGATACCAGCTTCCATGCATATGGAAATTCAACATACAGAAATTTCTTAAAAACACAGGAAATGTCATGATTGCCATTGTTCCATGGACGTATAATCTATTTGCTTTCTGTTTTTTATTTTAAGGTGTGGAGAGGGTTGTGTAGGTACAAATTGCTATTAAAAAGTGCCACAACTGCAAGCTAAATGTGAAGAAAATGCAGACAGTAAAAAGTTATTTTTTTTATATTGTTTTCCAGAATAACTTTAAAATAGAACCTCACTGAGGCTGTTTTTTTTTTTTTGCTAGTTAGCACTTTCTGTTCCTTAGCTGTGAAATGGCAAGCCCAGGAAAAATGTTGCAAGAAGTTCTAGTAAGGAAATGACACACCTGCTGCTGCTGGGTTTATAACAGTGAAATGAATGACCAATACACAACTGTAAATTACAAAAAAAAACCACAAATTACATGCAAATACCTTTCAATGTTGTACAAACTATAAAAATAAAATCATTAGAATAAAATGAAGTGCATCCCATATCTGACCATTTCACTTACGGCCATACCAAGTGTGAATTCATTGATCCACCATCCACTATCCTTGACATCAGAATCAAAATTGTACACCCAATCTTACGCAGTTACAGCTATATAATAAGTTGACTTTGGGGGTAAAAATAATGCTCATCGTCTGTGGTGCTTTCGTTATGAAAGGGGAAAATGACTTAAAGAAGGAGCAGTGATAGGGAGAATTTGTACAGGGTGACTTAAGTCTATAAGGAAGATAAAGTAATGTTTGGGCAACAGTGGCAGGTTTGGAATGAGGTGTGTGCAATAGGAAGCATAACCAATTTGAATTCAACATGGGGTCATGGCACGCTATATCTAATCTACTCATTACACATGAGCAAAACATTCCAATAGATGATAGTCCAAATTGGTCTGCAAATTCTTACTTTTCACTTTAGAAATTGTCCAGTTATTGTGTGGTCACCTCACAGTAAATACAAGAGTCTGCCTTGGTAAGAGCTCAAAGGAAGCATGGATAGATTCAAGGACCTTCATGTAGGCCTCATTTAAGATTAAAGTTATTGAAGGCATGACTGTGAAGTAGGAGGGCTGCACGGAATCTTAAATGTCACATGTAGAAACACTAAGCTGTTCTCACTAATGTAATAAATTATCTACATTTTATTTGCTTATGTGACAACTATAAGCTTCTTCTAAAGATATACTTCAATAATATTTAGCATGTCTCAAAAAGTACTAAGGAAGCAAGCAAAGAAAGTACAGTGCTGTTGAGCTTTATGAGAATGATCTTTATATGAGAATCCACCCCCTTATCCTTGCTGTGTTGTCAGCTTGACACATGATCTCAAATAATAGGGATACCAATATGTCTATGTGCCTCTACTCTGGATTCTGAACACAAAACCAGGTTAGTGTGCTCTGCCGAGTCTGACCCAATTCTTCAACACCAAAACTGGAAGAGATACCAGCATCTCAACTTCATCAGCATACTTCTCCTTACCAAACAAACCCAAAACTTCCCAACAATATCCATAGGCCAAACAGTGGCATCTAACTGGCTCTGTCATTGTCCATACCTGCAATGCCAAAAATGAACACATTACAAGAGCAACTGCACAACTGATCACCTTCTCTACAGTCAACGTCAAAGCAACAATGGCTCCGTCAAAAATGCAAGAGACACAAAGATGTCAGAACAAAGAAACAAAGTGGAAGTGTTGAAAAGATCTCACTATAACTGGACTGCTGAATTTCACAGTACTGTACATTGATAGCTCCAAAGATAGCACCTGCTCAACCAGCCTGAGACTGTGTAGATCCCATAATGATCTAATCAGTTCTTCTGGCTCATGGTGGATGGGGATAGTCAAGCAACAACAACTGTCTATTATTTCTGTGGGCAGGTGTGTTCTAAAGCTTTACACAGTGCAGAAGAGTGCTGCTCTTTCCAATGATGTCACATTTTGTTGAATTACAAGTCACATATCCACATTTTTTCAACAACTATCAAATTTAATCAAAATGTGAATTCGCAAACTGAACACTTTTATGGGCAAATAATATCAGCAATAACCACAAAGAACACTAAAAAACTAAAAATATTTCTTGGGTGAGTATGCCCACCTCTTACTATGGCAACCCTACATTTGCTCAGGCGCCCAAAGTTACTTTGACAAGTCACACAATAGGTCTGTGTGCAATAATACTAGTTCATAACTTCAGAATAAATACAGCTTACACTGTAAGATTCTTCGGTTAATTGCAAGCAAAGAGTCAATCAGGGAGACTACAGAGCTTTCAAAACAACTCAGAGATGTAGTTGCAGAAAAGCGCAAAGGAAAACAAATACATACAGTGTGAGGCACCCTGACATTGCCTTGATCAGGTTGTCCCCGTAAACTGAGCTGCCAGGCAAGGAAAAAACTGGTTAGGGATGCCACTGTGAGGCCAATGGTGACTTTTGAAGAGTTACAGAGTTCATGGGCTGAGATGAGAGAAGATGTCCAAGGGTCAACCCTTGATCACTCAACAGAGCTGGCATGTTTGGAATTACAAATAACACCTCAAATACAAAAATGAATCTTGTTTGGTCTAAATGCACAGCTCCCACAGCAAAACCCCCCAAAGCACATCACTCAGGAAATACCTGTATCATCACTATTGACATAAATGGTGTTGGCAAGGCTGCTTCTCGTTGGCAGGGACTTGTCAAGATTGCGGGAAAGCAGATGGAGTAAAACAGGAAAATCCGAGAAAAACCTGCTTCAATTTTTTGGCAGAGGTTGAGTGAATTTGGAAAAATGAATGGGCAAAAATGATTCTGCAATTCTATTAATTAGGTACCAAAAAGTGACTCAGTTGGTGAACTGGTGAACTCTGCAATCCACATTTTATTAAATAAATGTCATATTCTGTAGCAGAATTCACACCAAATCACATTGAAATAACTAAAAACCGTTATACACATTTCTTTCAGTTAATTTCTTAAAGTTACATTTTCAATAATGATACCTCAGTAACTGAAACCATATCTCCTAATTACTTAAGAACACGAGACATTTTGATCTCTTTAATTATAAGAAATGTATTAACAAGGCATACATTATTTGACTGAATCATAGTAAAATCAATATCTGCTAATATATTTTTCATCAAGAGTTCCTAGAAAAGGAATGTTTACCAATTTTTAAATATATTTTAGTTTTACTTATATAAAAAAACATTTGCATGCACACAGCCCAAAAAGTCTGTTTTTTAAATAAGAAAAACAGATTTGCTAAAAAATAAAGCACACACTTTGATACATAATTAAATTAGTCATAGCTGAGTACTTTATTAAAATATTTTGTCCTTAGAGCATAAATACATTAAAGTAGGCTGTTAAGTGACTCATTGCATAGAGATCAAGAAAATCTAATTACTTCCTGTGCAAGTTCAGAAAAAAAAACTGTTTTCAAACAAGAGGAAAGTGGAACTTTCCTCTGGAGTGAATGAAAAGTGATGGGTCAGCTTTCCATACTCTGATTTATCTAGTTCCGCTTTTGGTGCTATAAATCACAGGAGGTTACACTGCACTGTCAACTCACTCCTCAGGCTGAATCATCACCCACTCTGCAAGCCAGCTGACGAGATGACACAGAAGGCAAGTCTTCTCCTGGCCACACTGGCCATCTGCTGCATTGCCACAAGTTATGGTAAGACAAACCGACTGTCACCTCGCACAGGGTTTAGAGCAACTGCTAGTCGGGAATCCTGAGCTGTAATTAAGATCTGCATTTTTGCCAACTGCTGTTCAATTCTTGATGCAGTTTTGAAAATTAATCGGAATATCAGAACATGTCTTTCAAAAGGGAGATTCCATTTTTATTGAGCTAAAAATGTTATTTTCCTGTGTGAGTGAGTTTAAAACTAGACAAGACCTTGCATGCAAACGTTTCCAAATACATAATTCCATTACCTACCGAGTTACCTTGATTGTCCACAATTACAATCTAAAAACTTTCAATTAAATCCATGCATGTTTAAGTATTTATTTATATTTGAAATCAAAATTAAATTACTCCTTACATGTACATAATTAATTATTTTATTCCGAGACCTTCAGACCTAAAATATAAATATAATTTAAGGGGCTCAGGTTTCGTTTCATACTTCTATATGGCGATATTATTTCTTCCTCTAAAAAGCAGCTAAAAGCCCTCTTGTTTCTTTTTATTTAAGAAGTTTACTGACCCTGAAAAGTCAATATATCAGTCGCGTTTCAGGTCTGCTTTCAGATGATCAGGGTACATTTCAAGCAAATGTTGTCCCTTGTTTTTAGCCATTGTGCATGACTGGAAAACAGATTACTGGTAAGGTAATAATTCCGAAAAATAAAACTTATTCTGGAACTGGGACTTTGACCACCCTCTCTCTATAACTTGAGGGCTTCGTGTAGCTTTCTCTTAAACTTGGTAACATGAAAGCAATCTAATTCATATTTAAATAATAAAAACAGAAAGTGAATTTAGACATAGTGCTTGATCAGTATTGGGACCTACTGTAGCAAGTGTTATCTCAGAGATCGCTACTAACCTGCGGTTATGATTATTCATGCTTTTCAACCTCCAGCCTTACCTATGGAAGGAATTATCAGTGACCTGAAGTGTAGATGTGTGAGATACACGTCTGCCTACATAAATCCCAGAAACTTCCGGCACATCGAAATAATTCCCCAAGGAGCTCGTTGTCGCCGTACTGAGATAATGTGAGTAACTGCTTCCCTTCCTGTATCTTTAAAGCCACCCATCTGGTGGATATTTTCTGTTAAAAAACAGGAGTCTCGCTTGTTCCATAAGAAAAGCAGGGCTTAGAAATGGGAAAAAATGCCTACTGAAACTTCAGCTATATTTACAAAGTTACCTCAGAGGTTGGTTTTAAAACACAGCACAGCTGTATAATGCGTCCTGTTAAGTGGCTTTAAAGAGCACAGACTTTGTGTGGTTGATCTTTTCATGTCTTTCTATTGATATTTGTGGCTCAGTGGCCTTTGCCCACAATAATTAAAAATAATTCTTCTTGTCAGTGGAACCTCAACTTGGCTACAAAGTTCAGAGAGCTGGAGAATGTAGGCTGATGTGGGCGCACAATCTTTACCTTGTCTGAAAAACACTTGCCTTTTCACTCCAGTCTAAAACGTTTCATCACAGCCATCACCTGATCAGACTATGTTTGCGGAGAAGATGAAGGGCATCTTTCCCAAAGGTTCAGAAGTAAAGATCTGAACTTGAAACTGTCGTGAAACTGGAACCTTGGCTAAAGTCATGCAGAGAACTTCCTGTTCTGAGCTTACATGGGACTAAAACGTTTCTTAAAATATAAACGTCCCGCTAGAAAATTAGCATATGGCAAAATGTAAGTATATAAACAGACATGGTAAACCACAGACCTGTCGGTGATACCACAGAGTTCCTAATGTGTACTTTTAACTTCCTTTTTTGTTGTCAACTTGTCAAAGAACTATATCCAAAAGAAGAACAAAAACATCAGCAGGATTAGGATAAAAATGTACATGCTTTAAGTACCATGGGCGACAAACTTGATATTTTTCACATTTTGTTGACATTATTGTTTGATGCACATTAAAAGATCAAATGACAATTACATCAATCCACAGAAACTATGAATAATCTATTTAAAAAATACACTTATTGAATACATATATTAAATATCAAACTATATGCAACTTTATGTGTGGACAAAAACTATTTAAGGCTTACATTTTCAGGGCACATAAAAAAAATGTCTTTCTTCAGCTCTCATTCTGTGCTACTCATGGGCGCCCATATGAATAACTGTAGTTCACCCAGCTGTAGGAAGAGTGAAAAATAAATGGTTTTGCTTACCAGGATACTGACCCCTACTAGCGGCTACTGTTTGTAATGTACTTGTGTTCTTTCATCTGTACCTTTGCCACAGCTGAAGAAAATAGATTTTGGATGTTTTGGTTTCAAGAAAACTTCAAAAAAAGAAAGCAAATTAAAAGACAGCACAGTGGCCAGTATCTCGTGAGAGGGCCTTCGGGCAACAGAAAGAAGGAGGTATTTTCTTTGAGAACCCAGTCCCTGCATTTTCATCGAGGGAAACATGTTCTGCCTCTTCTTTCCATTCAATGATCTTGCCTTTGTTTTTCTCATGCCTATGCTCAAATAAGCAATGTATGGTGTAACAGAGCCAACACTGAAACCCTTCCTCTGTTCTTTTTCAGTGTCACCTTGAGAAACAACAACATTGTCTGTGTGGATCCTCAGGCACAATGGATCAATCAGCTAATCAGTAATGTCATAGCACTGTAAGTCCTCCATGACTCATTTCTATATTGATCTCACAACTCATGAGCCAAATAATCTAGAAGGTAATAAGCTCAATACTTTTGTGCTGCACTGGTTACTCTGGTCCATCACATTAAAAACATGTTGTATATATGCATACCCATATAAATCCGATTTGTGAGAAACAGGCAAAGAGCTTATTAAAGCTTATTTATATTCAGACCTGTCCTTTGGGGCAATACACATTTTTTAGTAAATACCCACCAAAGGCAATAAGGTCTTCGAAATCATATATACAGAGAGATCATTAAAAACAAATGCTATTGCTTCCAAAACCCATGTTTTTAATGTCTCTAGGTATTACCTATTGTAACAGTACGTAATACTGCCTCACAGTTCCTAGGTCCTGGGTTTGATTATGGACAATGATGCCATCTGTGTGGAATTTTCTTGTTCTCTTACATTTGTGAGAGTTTTTTCCCCTCTATCCCAAGACATGTTCTAGGCCCACAGACATTTCTAAAACTTCTGTTCATTAAATGGAATAATTGCTTTGGCGCAGTACTAAGAACTCACATTAAAAGCTAATTTAACAGATTCTTATCTCCTAATACTGCTCCTCTTTCTTTTCAGGAAAAAAAGCACTACAGCGGAGAAAGCCTAAGGAAACATGAAATACTGAAGCAGAAAACGAACTTAAACTGTGAACAACGCTTAACAGAATATATCACCTGCTAAAACGTTTTTTTCTCTTTTACTTAGTGCATCCATGCCAAGCTTTAAATATGTCTGCCTATAAAGCAAAAGCTGGTAAACTGTACCAGCTGAGTTTCAAATTACTCAACCTGGGTCTTTCTGACTACCTGTGAATCCAAATAAAATGTGACCTTTATAAATGAAACACTGTTTAACAGCATTATAAGAGTTTTTTAAACTTATGATTAAGCTGTAGTGTTATGCATTTAAAATGATTTTCTGATGTCTTTCATAAATCAATGCTTGAAAACTGTGAAAATTTGAACATCTAGTAAAGTATAATTAAAATACATATACAGTACTTAATTGTAATAATCATCTTAGAATTGTATAATTATAAGACTTTAATAAAACATGGCGAAATTTTTAAAGCTGGACATTTTTTCATTTCTCAGAAAGAAGCTTGCACGAGACATTTAAAATCTAAGATACACACCCTAAACATACGTTACATTAAGTAACAAGCAATAGGTTTATAAGAAAGAAAACAACGTTTCGGCCATTGAGCCTTTTTCAGGTGATATTAAGTATGTGTACTGTACCAATGTGCAACTTTTTAGTTACAACTGAGAGTTACATGAGAAGACAATTATGGACAGTCTGATATCTTCTAGCCTGGGGGAGCTTGTCTTCCACAGTGCATACAATTAATATTTCAGACGCCAACAACACAAACTGACAAAAGGACAAGCTTGATTTTGACATTAGAAAAGTTTCGAATACACTATTGATCACAGATGCATAAGACCTGATGTACAGGACAAGCGAAACAAGTGTTAATCCTAAATAGGGGCTTAACTTCAATCTGAGAACAGTAAAAAAGTAACAAACGAGACGAGGTCCTTTCATTCATTCCAATAACTCACCTGGCTGCTAGTAGCTAAGGAGTATCTCGTCCTCCTTTTCTTAAAGGATTATTTCACAACATGGCGCGGTAGGTTCTTCCACAAGCGAAGCAGCCCATGTTCTCGGTTTTAGAAGCACTTCACTAATTCTGACTTTTTGCCCTCTGGTTTCTAAAGAACATCAGCCGAAACAACTCTATCGCTGGAAGGACAATGTATGCATGCACCATGACGTAACCCAATGTCCAAACGTGAAAACGCAAAGGCATTACAGAGACAAAACAGTAGGAGAAAACGTTTTAAAAGCAAACGGAGAGAGACTTTACACAAAACACAACCACCTATGATATGAAAATCTTCTCGAATCAGAGAAGATTGTAAACAAGAGGAAAGTTCCAAGATCCAAACTTCCACCGGCCTGGAAGATGAACCGTGCTCTAGAAAAAAAAAAAGGGGGTGCAAACGTGAAAAACAGTCGGAAAAAACGTCGCCAGGAACGGAACAACGGTACAACAAAGCAACACAAACTCAGCCAGTACCTATCCCGAGGAGGGTTGAATCCAGTCAGTCTCGCCTTGAATCCGGGCTCCCAAGGAACCTCGTGTTGTTCGTTTTTGTCCCGGGCAGGCGTAAGCATAACACCTTGGCAAATATCCTAGAGAATATTAAACACCTATAAACGTCTGTCATACGCCTCTGACAATAACAAAATAAGAAGGGAATTTAAGTATTTTGAAAACGAAGGAGACGTCGATAATACAGTCTTGAATGAATTAAAGAAGTAGCATAACTTCAAAGTAGAAAACAGCCAATTGAAACCTCAACCTCGGAATAAAATCGGACTCCTAAAGAGCTTTCTTACACTTGCGTCTGTTGAGAGGTGAAATCTAAGAGTGAAGTTGAGGAGTAGTAATCGAGGCTTTATACCTTATTATCATAAGGTTCGCTTTTTTTTCACAGAGTGAAAAACCCAACTGTATCAAAAAAGGATACAAATATAAATTCCGTTAGATAAGTGTCACACATAAATAAACACATCACTTATTCTTTAATAATATAATGTTTTACTCTCAATTCACTTTTGAAATGCTCAAAGAACCTCTAGGGTGTACCAGTGGAAATCTCGGTAAAACAATACAAGCCCTTGCAGTAATTCTAGTTTATTTGATCCACAAAAAGTGAACACATTAATAATAATTGCTTACACTTATGTAGCGCTTTTCTGGACACTCCACTCAAAGCACTTTACAGGTAATGGGGACTCCCCTCCACCACTCCCCATGTGCAGCATCCACCTGGATGATGCGACAGCAGCTATAGTGCACCAGCTATCGGTGGGGAGGAGAACAGAGTAATGAAGCCAATTCAAAGATGTGTATTATTAAGAGGCCATGATTGGTAAAGGCCAATGAGAAATTTGGCCAGGACACCAGGGTTACATCCCTAATCTTTTTGAGAAACACCCTGGGATTTTTAATTACCACAGAGAGTCAGGACCTCGGTTTTATATCTCACCAGGACGGCGCCTTTTTACAGTATAGTGTCCCTGTCCCTATACTGGGACATTAGGACCCACATGAACAGCAGGGTGAGCGCCCCCTGCTGGCCCCTCTAACACCTCTTCCAGCAGCAACCTTAGTTTTTCCCCAGGAGGTCTCCCATCCAGGTACTGGCTAGGCTCACACCTGCTTAGCTTCAGTGGGTTACCAGTTGTGAGTTGCAGAGTGATATGGCTGCTAGCGACTGGGTAGGTTAATTGCTGTCATCAAACCATGTTTTGGAAGTTATTTCTATCCCCATAATCAGATCTATTTTCTCTGCAATTAATCACTGTGTTTTCTACCCACCTGAGTGGTACTGACCTCTCACCTCAGAGCTGTTCCACCAATCAGGGCATCAGAATAACCCGGGAAGAACATCCATGGGTCTCTTAGCTCTCAATCATCCTGTATAGTGTGCATTATTTATTTCAAATCAGATACTGCTGGGTGCTGGCATGTTACCCAATGCTGAAGAGTAACCCTCAAAAGATAAAAGAAATGAGTGATAAAGAAACAAGTTTCTTTTTCATTATGCTTACAGACGCTCAGTGTAAACAATGTGCGTTGTTTTATTGTAGTTCACTGATAAAATCTGGATTTGGAACAAAAAGCCTTTGAGACCCACGTGGGGAAAATAAACCCACCACACAATGTCTTTGGTTAAATCCTTTTTATTAAATAAATATAAAAATAAATTAATCTGAAGGACAGAGATTTTAATTAGGCTTTTCCCATCTACTAACATGTACAGGTCAGTCCAGCAGGAGAAATAACAGTACAGTTTAAGAATGGCAGACATTTAAAACAAGAAAAACAAGCAGGATGTGCCATACCATGTGAGAATTTGCACTTTTTACTGCTGGGTGCAGTCAAGCCTGTGAACTGAAAAATGAAAGCAAGTTTAAGGAGGTTTCTACACAGATCCCTGCTGTTGTAAAAGCAGCACACCCATAAAATGAAAAAACGTTTTAAAATAGATGCATTAGTGATGTGATGACTCATTTTAGTTTCAAATGCATTTCAGTATTGCAGTTTGGACATCCTGAATGCACTGTGTTGTCACCATTTTTTTTCATCCTTATCGGCCCAACAGGTTCAGAAGGAAACAAAGACTCCAAAGATGATGTCCGTCTGGGCTGCAGAGCTCTGTGATCTTGTGAACAAGGGGTTTTGTGTTCCAGTGCTTGAGGGCCCTAAGGTCTCCCTAGTTGTCACATCTCAGCTCTCAGAAAGGTAAAGGGACACTGAGCTCCAAATAATTCCATGTATAAACTGGATCATGGAATACACAAATATTAAGACACTTGTTTTCACAATGCTAGGGAGCAGAACCATCTCAAGAAGGGGTTCCCAGTCCTGGGGACCTCTGGTATAAAGGGATTTTTTATTCAGCTTCACATGTATAGTACTGTAAGTATAAAATAAACAGGATTAGGTGTCAGTTTGGACAGTTCCGCTCTGAAAGGTCACACGCAGTCAGATTAAGTTGTGACACTGAGAATTAAAATTGCATGAAACGAAATGGAAAATAATTTAAAAAGAATTATCATTGGAGTTGAATCAATGTTCATATATCCCGTGATACACAGTGACTTCTGCCTGATCTGGGAAATGCTGCTCCTCTAAAAGATGTTCCTTGGAAGGACTCTGTATTCTGGCAGGCTGCCTCTGCAGAATAGTAGCAGATGGGAAGACCACAAGAGTGGTCAAAAACAGCTTGAAAAGACAGGAATAAAAAACTGCACATGTATAATACAGTAGCTTAACATTAGCATCAGCACACAGGGTTAGTCAAAATGTTGTCGACAAGTACACTGTAAATGCCTATTATTTTACTGACGTTTTGTTTTCTCCTCCACAGATGGCGCTGCAGTCACACAGCACCCACAATGGCGTCACCTGCGGAGAAATCATTTTGTGTTCTCTGTTATCATGACACCCATGTAATTAATTTGTAATAAACTGTCAAAGCTGTCGACAGCATTTTGACTAACCCTGTACAGTATTGTTTGGGATTGCAGAGCTCTCACATAGACAAGTAGTAAGGCCCCTGTATATGCTGTTAGGTTGCTGGGAAAGGTGAGTCTGTCGGGTGGAAATAACAGTCTCTGGTCTATAGTGGGCCTTATTTTGAGGGCTTGGCGCCTTTTGTCTGTTAGTTAAAGTATGTCAGATTCAGTCAGGATTGTGGCCTGGACATGTTAATAGATCTTATTCAGGGTGCAGTTCATGCTGGTATATTAGAACAGCTGAACTCTCATCCTTCAGGTGGAATGAGAGCAGTAGGCTCACAGAGACCTGAAAAACCTGCTGGACCATGAGCGCCCAAAGAGCAAAGCTGGGAGACATCCAGGGAAATAACCACAAGCAGGAATTTCCTTTGAAGAAGAAACAGCAAACATTGGCTGCTTTTAACTTCTCAAATATTGACAGTGCAGGTGGAGGTTCTCACTTGATACATTTCAGTATTTAATTTGATTGTATTTCCAAAATAAAACAGGAATGAGAAAAAATATATTGAAATGCATGGAAAGATTATAAATTAAATTTATATTTAAAATGTATTTCAAGTGCGTACTTGCATCCCATATACAGTATTATACACATATATTATGTACAGAAAAATGCATCAATGTGGTTGTGAAAAATACATATAATTGAATATCCCTTTCACATGTAGCCTATCCCATCAGAGGCTTGTGTGAACATACAGCATACATAGTAAAATCAGAAACAGGCCTTGATAAGCTCACAGGGTGAGACGCTAAACACTGATCTTCACCCTATAGGGTGTCAGGCTGCTGCTGGTTACTGTGGCAATGACAAAGCAAATGTAACCCTTTGTGCAACTTCAAAGGGCAAAATTGTTATATAGAAAAGGTTGTAGAAAGTGTTCTGCTTTTAGAAGAGGCATGAAACTCCTCACAGCAAGGATGATTTATGGCATAACTACTGCAGCCTGAGCAGCGTAAGAAGATGGGGTTTTACATAGCTTATTTTATTCATCAGTGTATTTGTCCGAATCAGCTTCAGCTTTTTTTAAAAAGCTTCGGCCACTCCCTTTTACTAATATTTGCATTTGTGAAGTGCATGCTAACTCCCTAGAATGTTACTTTTTGTGCAGACATTTATCATGCTTAATACATTTCCCATGCTCTGTTTTGATTCAGAGCTAAACTCCAGCAGTGTGGTGTCTAATTCTAGGGTGCTGGTACAGTAGTGCTGACACATTGTATTGGCTCTGTCCATTTTTTACATCTTTACCAGGCCAGGAAACCAGGTTTTGAGGCTCATCAGAAATGTTAGGCCCCCACTTTCCCTATTTTTAAATGCATAGAAATGCATTAGAATATTTAATTGGAGTGTGACAGCATTCTTCAGTCCATCTCATGAAAAAGAGTTCCTCAACACATCTAACATATCCAATGCACTGTCATGCATTCAGACACATTGTGGAAAAATAAATGTGGAAAAACATTACTCCAATTTCCAGCAGGCCACTGCTAAGGAACACTTCTAATGTCAGATGTTTAAAACATCCTGGATGGCCCAACAGCAATAAATTACATTTGTGGACTGTAGTTTTAAATATAGGTAAAACATTTGCCTTGACTTTTTCCAACAGATCATCTTTTCTGCAACCTGTACTGATAGAAATCACTGTCCTTACCCTTTTCCTTCTTTTAAAATTCTCTTGATAAATGTACCAGGGCTCACAAGCATTTCAAGCATGCACAGGGCTTTAAAGATTCCTGGTAGGTTTCCCAAAGAATAACACGTGTTAAAAATAAAGTGGTGTTCAGTCAGCTTACACTGGTAAAGCTTTAGGGCTTTCAGGTTACATACAAGCACTGTAATGAACACTGCAGGGATGCATTCAGAGCTGTTGCATTCATAGGAAATGGCCTTATTTTAAAACCATTAAGGAGAAAGCATAGGAACAGTAGGCAGATAAATACAGCAGCCATGGTTTACCTACTAACGAGACTACATCCATACCCTGTCGAGAAGGTGAGGGACATGGATGAAGGATAAACTGTTTTTCCCTCTCTAAAATTAAAGTAAAATTAAAAATATTACAGTACTTGGAATTTTAAGCTGTCTCTCACAAATGTCCGCAGGATGCATGACCACTCTCTAGTTTAGAGAATGAAATTCTCAGTCCTTTGTCTTTTAGCAATGGCCTATAGCACATGACAACAGTTGAACTGTCCGAGTGGCATGAGGCTCTCCTTTGAGGTGGGTTTTATCTTGAAGGACAGGGCTTTCTCACACAGCGGGAACTGCAGCAGCCTGTCCCTCAGGTTGACATTTTTCATTTTGGTGGGATCGACCCGGATCATGGGTTCTGGTCCCATGTCGTAACCGCCAGCGAGGTACACGCCCCCCCGGCTGCAGAAGTCCACTTCTTTGCCACCCAGAGCTCTCCTGGACCTCTTGAAATGTGAGCTCACCTCTCCCTCCCCCTCCTGGACCCCCCACTGTGCCCGGTCAGCCGCGTGTGAAACGTCCTTCACGGCGTGGGCGCTGGTGCGCGTCTCCACGGAGTCCGGACCCATGTCGACACAGTGGTTCTTTACCAGTGCCCTGGGAGAGCTGGCCGCAGAGGGCACTTGGAGCTCCATCTTGGGCATGTTGTTGTTGTGCTCCTTCACAGCTGCCTCACCATCGCTGGCGTCTGCCGTCTCGGTGCCGTCCTGGCAGCACTGCACGCTGAGGAGGTGGCAAACAATGGCACCCTCCTCGCCCTCACCTGGCACTGCATTTTTAATCCCCCGGGAGGAATTCTTGGGCTTATTCTGTATTTCATCTTGGGGATGCTGGGGCATGGGGTCAACTTGCTTTGTAGGCCCCCGATCAAGGTGAGCCTTTTCTTGCCCTTTGACCTGCTTGTAGCCTTTGTCCAAAGTTCCCAGGCTGTCTAACCTGCTTGGTTCTCTGGGAGCTTCTTGGCTATCCAAAATCCTACGCTTATCAATATCCTTGCTTTCTACAATGCCTTTCTCATACAAGAGCCCTTTCTTTTCCTCTGCAACATCGTGCGCTTGAATATTTTTCTGTCCAACCACTTCACCTGTAGTGACTTCAAGGCCACTTGCTTCTGCAGGCTCCTCTGTGAATCCTTCAGTCCAGCTCTGCACTCTTGTCTCTCCACCAGTACCAACTTGCCCTGGAGTTTCGCCTTCCTGAGCCCTGCTTTCCTTCACATCTTCTCCGCCATTGCTAGACTCTTTGCCCTGACTAATCTCAATCGCCTGGCAATGCACCGTGTTTCCCTGGTCTTTTAAGCATTGTTTGCTTCCAGTATTCATCACAACACCCTGTCCTTGGCTCTCAAGGTACAGCTCATCTCCAAGTGGAGTGAATTTGACACTGCTTCTGACTTGCAGTTCTTGCTTAGGGTCTTTACAACCTTCTTTTCCTTCTGATCTCTGCTTGCTTTTCCCATTTTCCTGTTCTAATGGACAGCCCTGTGCACCAGCTTGGCTAATGGCAAAGGATTCTTTTGGTGTAATACAATGGTCTAGGCGGTGCTGGGTCTCCCTTTTCTCCCAATGTGTCAGTTTGTCACTTCTGTGAGGAGGTGTGGTTTTACACTCATTATATGGAGCTAAAGGAACCCCTTCCTCTTCCTCCTCCTCATCTTCCTCACAGATCTGCTGCAGGGCTCGGATGTTCTTGGTGGGCGGGAGCTCACCTGGCCCGCTGGACCTCAACAGGAGCCCCACCTGCTGGCTGACGCTGTTCTCGCTGAAAGGATTCCCGTTTTCCCTGCCAGCACAAAGGTCCAGGGGTTTCTGGGGCTCAGCCTGAATCGGAGAGGTCTCTGGAACATCCGGGCCAGGTCCAGCAGCCGAGGTGTGGATCTCCGCGGACTGGTGGCCTGGGATTTCACCGGGTAACTCCTGGGCTCTGCCCCCGCCCCAGTCAAAGGGTTCAGAAAGAGGCCTCCTAATTTAGAAGGAAAAGACAGGTGTTAGAAAGACTGCAGTGTGTCACAAAGAAAGCCTCATGAGTAATAACTGAGGAACGGTGAATTGAAAGTTCAATGAGGTATCAAGAACAATGACCTGTTTTGTACTGAGGGTAACAACGGACGTTTCCCTATCTTTCGGCTCTTCCTGAAGCACTAGGGTGAAATGTTCTGAAACAGAAATGCTTAGAAGGAAGGGCAAATGAGTTCCGTCTTTTTTCCAGTCAAGCTGTATTTGTAACTGGTTGCGTCCTGCCAATGTAACTAAAATGTCACTTCTCTCCGATTGAGTGGAGCAGTTGCTCCCTTTCAAGTCCTCTTTGTTAGGATGAAGGTGTTTCATTCAAAAGCAGGTTGGGAACACAATTATGAGCCAAAATCATACCAAAGGGGTAAACAAGAAATACCAGCAAGTACTTTATGATGCAATCTTTCCTTAAAAAGAGCTCGAATAGCCATGACAGTGACAGGGTTCCTCTGGGCAAAGATGCCACCAACCTTAATAGCATTTTGCAATCAGTTTTTGTCAATATAGTCATAATCAATACACAAGATATATTCATACTGGTTGCCTTCTTCATGTTCAGGCTGCAGTCAGACTCCCCCTGTAATACTTCAGGGTGTTGAGGTTAATGGCTGGAGCACTAAGCCTAGATCAAGACATGATGCTGACCCTTCCTTTCTTAGTTGTACTTCATGAATATTCCCAGGTTTGTCCAGAGTTTTGACTGCCAAAGCACTGCATGCAGATATTTTGAATGGCAGGTGTACCCGTGACATGACCATCTTAAGTAGCCATGCTTCTGCACAATCCTTCCATATTTAAACATACTGCCTTACTAGGGAGACGGGAAGTATTAATTCAACCATTTCAAGCCCTAACAAAATGGAAATTGGACTTCTTAAATATAAATAAATTCAGTGAACAATATGTACACCAGCTTTAATTTAAGGCAGATATCTAACAAAAATACAGTGTAACATAGGAAAAAGTCACATTACAGGTCAGTATTTCAGTTGTTCCAGGCTTGTATTTTGATGTATTGAAAGAAACTCTTAGTCAGGAAAAGACTGTGCTAGGGTTAGGGTTAGGTTTAGGTTTTCCATTAAGCCTAGATAACTTTTGACCTCAGGGCTGGATTTTTTAAAAGGTTAGAAATATAGGAAAGGCGACTGACATTACTTTCAATTTTATTCATTTAGATGCTATTAGCTAATTCTGTGAACCAACCTAATTGAAGCAAAACCCAATCTACTGTCAGGCTCTCTGATCCAACCCACCACCAAGCACAAACCTGAGCAGACACACACCCGTGCGGTGCGTAGCAAGCTTTTTACATTGTTGCAGTGCCTGCAGCAGGAGGCAATGGGGCAATTCACTCTGGGATTGGCATCGGGCAGGGGCAGTTGGGCATGTGCAACAGAGAGCCCTGATGGGTAAAAACGAGTCCTCTTACCGCTGCTGGCATGGTGCGGTCCAGCTGCCCTCTGCACTGGGGGCCTGTCCGGGGTGCTCCTGTTTCTCCCTCAGGATGCGCTCCGCCAGGAGGAAGTAGGTGGCAGTGATGTGGTTGTAGCGATCCGCCTCCAGAGCCCTGGCAGAGAATGAACTCGATTACAGCGGCATGCAGAACAGTGCATCCCTACCGCTGAGCAGGCTGGCAACTTGTGCAGCAGAGAGCAGTGTTGTCACCCACACAGCCCTGTTAGCAGTATCCTAATGTTTTACAACTGCACTGGCTATGGTCCCACTGCAGCCTAACTGTTCCCCCTGTCCCATGGAGACAGTACCAGCTGCAAGCTCCTATTGTTTTCCTCAGTGCAACAGCCAGGTGTTCTTATCTTACGGAAGAACACAGTGTGCCCAGTGTGAGGAAGCCCACACAGAGCATGTCATATTTAATTTCAGGTAATATCTGAACCTGCCTGACATGACACAATGGAAGGAAATCTGAGCTGAGATGGGCAGATAGCTCAAATGGGAGTCGTGCACAGGCAGAGTTTGGTATCAGTGGCTGCTGGTCTGTGATTTATTTTCTGCCAGAGTTTGGTTATGACAATTATGCTTTGGTTGCCCGACTGGGGAGTAAAAGCAGGCTCACTCCTGGATGGTGTCGCAGTCCGCGATGTTGCCGCAGGTCATGGCCTGGATGATCATGCTGTGCTCCTCCTGGGACAGGCTCTTGTAGGACGTAAGGGGCACGGTGCTGCGACTGGCCGGCGAGGGGTCCACTCCCCGGAGCCAGGGGTGACCCTCGATCTGCTGCAGGGACGCCCGTTTCTCTGGGTCGCGCTGCAGCATGTGTGAGATCAGGCTGCAACAAGGAGCAACACCTCTTAACCACAGGAAGCCGCTGGCAGCTGAGCTCCCACAATACACCTGTCCATTGGGAAACGCGTGGCGCAAATTCTGCACAAGTGTAGCGTTTTTTTTTTAAAGAAAACTAATTTCTGTTAAAATACAGTCTTTTACAGCTTATAGCTAAAACAAGCAATATAATAAAAGTTCATGAAGGAATAGCATTGCAATCCATGATGTGTAAACTGAGACCTTACTGTATGCCTAAGAGGTAAATGAACCACCCGAGGGATTCTTGATTTTATTAACATATAAGCTCATCGAAAATGTTCTTCGAAAATGTTTGGGATGATTGCTTTCTGCCACATGAGTTTGGTCGTGTGGCTGTTGTACTAATTTATACTAAATGTACCAGATAATTTTAGATAACTTGTTATGGTTGAAGGACATCTGTTTGAGACTTCTGTCCCAGACATGGCCTCCAAATTAAACACAAAATCTTAAAAGAGTGCAAATGTGTAACAACAAAATAATTTCTTCAGCCAAAGTCAATTACAACTAATGCCTCTCTCTTATAGTCCAATCAGCTCAAAAGTTGTTAAAACTACCTATGCATTAGGAAGATTGTCTTGACTACAGACTCGAATTGCTCAGCTTCATTTCAAGCAATCAACAGTCCCACTAGAGGGCAGTACAGCTTTAAGAGCCCAGCTCTTGTCATTACAGCTGGAGGTCGTTTTTTATGCTGCTACAACACTTGAAGTTGGACCTGAAGAAAACTGACTATTTTTAGCAGACAGTTTTACAGACATCCTACAAGCATGTTTTTGTTGAAAACCTCTATTCTGTCTTCTGAGTGAACTCAAGTTATCGAAGAGAAACATCTGCTTTTTTTAGACCTGTGGGATGTGTTCTCTTAGATAAACACACATAGAAAATGGTTCTATATTAGTGAGGCGGATATTTCTTAAAGAGGCGTCACTGATGTGGTTACACCCACCACACTAAAGCTGTTTCTATGTTATTCTCATAACACTCACGTCCAGTTTAAAACAGAACCAACACCTCTACCACACGACTGGAAAGAAACGGATCAATGAGAAGCAAGAGTAAACACCTCTCACACACATAAAAAATGCTCACATAGTGGGAATGTTGACATGGGAACAATCACAAATGAGAGGAGGCCATACAGACCATCTAGTCAGTTTGATACTTGGTAGCTAATTGATCCCAGGATCTCAACCAGCCATTTCCTGAAAGAAGCTAGTGTTTTGGCTAGAGCAACAGAGCTGGGTAGCTTGTTCCACCCTCCCTCAACCCTTTGTGTAAAGAAGTGCCTCTCATTTTAAGTTGAAACACTTTCCTGTAGTGTCCACTTGTATCCTCTGGTTTGTGTTTTACTGTTGATTCAGAAGAAGTCCCACTGGGTGGAGTTTGTCGATGCCCTTGAGGATTTGGAACTCTTGTATGTGGTCCCCTTGGAACCTTCTCTGTTCAAGACTAAAAGGATTCAGTTTGTTTATTGTTACATTGTTTTATAAGAGACTTCAGCATCTGACAATAACATTTTTCTCAGTGATGCTGACTGCATAAAAATATGTCTCTATTAGCCAAATTTGATTTAAATCAAATTAGAACCAACACATAATGAGTTTTAGTTGGACAGTACTCTGAAAGTTTAGTTTAAAGGTGCTTAGGAGTACTTATTATAACATGTGTTATAATGAGTCGACATTTCCTATTAAAATACAGAAGTCCAGTAAGTCTACAGCAGCGCAGAAGAGCTGTGGGGACGAGACATGCCTGTCAGGACAGGAGCACACGGCAGGGCTTGACATTGGTTCACACCGTTTCAAGTTGTTTTTGAGTCACGTCTGGTGTGCTCTGACATTCAGCGTGCTGTCCTGCATGGGCACAACTTTACAAAGCACTTTATAAAGCAAACAGCCCATTTAAGAGTTTGATTAGCCACAGTACGTCAAATACCTCTCTGGACCAAGGGCTTTGTGAGAGCCCGCATTACTTTGAGAAGCGCTGCTTCAAGGTTAACAAATTTCCTGTTTACAACTCCTGCTGGGATCCATTTAGAAGTGCAACAGGGCAAGAGAGGGCACGTCTAGCTGGGCACAGCCTGTCAAATGACCTTAAATCATAGTTTTTAATTTCCTATGAGCGCCCAAATTCTGCTCGTGATCTGTATCTTGCAAACCCCCCAGCTCTAAGCCGGATTCACCGTGACAGTGGTCCAGGAAAGAAATATTAAGCTTGAGGTGCACAAGGCAGGCCTTTGCTTCCATAATCCCACATTAAAGCCCTACAGAACAGATGTGAGGCAGGGAGTGCCAAAAATAGCCCCAGTCACACTGCTAATGCTAACCTACATGAACATCTGGGAGTGCCGGCTCTCTGGGGATCAGCGTGCATTCAGGCAAGCCCAGATTACTGCTTATTAGCAAATGCACGAGTCTTCTGAGAGAGCTTTATTTTCTTTGGTACAAACATACCAATACACTCCATTTAAGCTCGAGGTTTGAGAACAGAAAGGAGATTAGAAAGAACAAGAGAACAGAATAATGGTATGTTTTACTGCTGTTTACTGCACGCTTTGTTCAATAGTTTATCCATTTTAAAAGATATTCAAATAATATTGCAGATGTACGAAAACAAGAAATACAAAAAAAAAC